CCTCTGATGATGAGATTGAGATCAACGCGCTCCGATCCGAGTCATGCTCTACAGGTTATCGATGCTCTTCGAGCGAAATTAGACTATACCATCGCCACATTACCTCCGGCCCATCCGCACACGCCATTCGTCTCATCAGGGAGCATCAGCCAGCATCATCCACTCGACTTCGCTTCCTCACTCCACGATCCGTATGTGGCGTTTACTGGCAGTCTGCTGTGGTGGATGAAGGATGGAAGGTTCGCTGCTGTTCCTGAGCGCCTGTGCAGCATGCTCCTTGACGGTAGGCAACGTCACTGATGAAATATCCTCATCAGTAAAGAGACCAAGTGCCTCAACAGACAGCTCCTTCCTGCGCGATGGCGACCGCGCTGCTGATGCGGCATGATTACGCGCGTGCATGCGCTTCTTTCCCAGCGACACGGAATCCCTATGAGCAAACAGTTCAGGCGACACACCACCCGAATGCACAATACGAGAGTGCGCGATCGTAACAGAATCGCGATGGTCGCGAAATTTGGTGTCTGCTTCTTCGAGATTCGAGAGCTTTCGGATCATTGGTGATGGCTTGGTGTTTCTTCCTCTGGTATGCGGGATCTCGACATTGGGCACGACAAGAGTGTGCTCGGAGGGTGGTGATCCTGCTCCTGGAGCGTGCGGCGGCGTCACCTGTAGGGCGTGCTGAAGTGATATTTCCTCACACGACACGCTCCTGGTCAGAGGCGCGCTTACGGGACGTGATGAGACGCTAGAATGCGCTCCGCTTGTGATGCGGCTATTTGGAGGTACTGTTGCTGCCAGGTCTTCGTCGTCGTCTACCGCGCAGTCGTAGCGAGTAGCCCGACCATCATCATCAGGGAACACCACAATGGTGGGCTTGAAGCTGTCGGACGGGCTATTCCAGGTTCCCGACCATCCCGCGAGCTTCGAGTTGACTCGGTCAAGGCCACCACGTTTGGCGCTCGGGCTGGCAGTTTCTAAGGCATGACTTGCTGAGGAGCTTCGTCGTCCCCGCGTCCTGATGGTGTGCTCTTCTGGCACATCGTCCCAGATTACCTCATAGCTGCCACTCTTTGTCTCGATGATTTGCATTGTAGGTGTTGCCGGGTCAGCGCTGTCATCATGGGTGAGTCCTTGCGCGTCCCACGAGGGAGCTATGGCGATGACATGTACGTCTGTCCGTGTAGTAGCTGGCTCAGCTGCAGCGCTCTTCGCTATGTTCATCGTGTTCGGGCATGATGGGCATGACTTGACGAGTTCTGTATGGTTGCTGGCCGACCTGGAGCTCTCTCCGGTATCACTTGCTAGAGTCCGAGTCGAGACTTCTTCCGTGATGGGCGCCGGGGGAAGTGAGATCGATTGCTTCGAACCACTTTCTTCGAAATCGACAGTCTTCACGCGACGCAAGGTCTTGAGCTCGGCGTTGATGCTTTCCTGTTGCAATCCGGTCGGTGGTGTGGTTGTGGTGCTCTTCGCCTTCTTCTTTATACATGGCTTCAGCTTCGCATTTCCATGGCGTGTCTTTGGGTTTGCAAACGCTTTTGCTGGGTCTGGCTCTGACTTTGAACGCACAGCAGTGGACCTGATGGGACTTGGCCTTGCAACCTTTTTGATCTGGTTCTTATTCGGCTCGGGGGTTCGAGATCGCTTGGCCCTGGGTTTTGTCTGCTCAACGAGTTGCTTCTGGAGGCTAGCAGATGAGATGTTTGGATCGTGGTACTGAGATTTTAGTTCGTATCTGGAGTTGCTGATGGAGCGCTGAGAGCCAGGGCGTGGAGGCCGTAGCTGTCTACGTGTCGGAGATGGAGTCGGACGGGTTGTATGGCGCCCATCCTCCTTCGAGCGCACTGCCTCCAACGCGGCAATCGCAGTCAAGCGCTCATTCCGTTCTTGGCTCGGTATAACCAGTCCGCTCGCGGATCGTTTCAGCGACCGTCTAGAACTCGCCTTCGAGGGCTGAATCGCTGACATGTCAGTCCGATCGCTGCCCATTGTCTCGGCATCATGCGACGTTGTCGTTGCAAAAGCAGAGTGATGTTCGCGCTCTTGGTCAGGTGTATAAGGAGGAGTGTTGGGGGCTGCCTCTTTATCGGTTGTGAGGTACGAGGTGAGCTTGGTGATTAAGCCATCGCCGGAAGTCCCAAGCATGGTAGCTGCAGATTACGATGAATACGTCAACCGGACAGCAAACATTCGTCAGCGTGTGAGTCGCAGTGTGAAGGGCGATGGCAAGTATCGTGATATATAGATCGTGACGTAGGAAGTTCGGATGTCAGTGATAAGAGGATTTACCTAGGTAGGGTAATGTTCCAGTCGCGAGAAACGCGTGTGCAGTAACAGCCAGGGCGATCGTGCAATGGAGAGATCTGGACATGCGGAAGGAAAGGTACAACTTGGGGCGGAAGCTCTTACCCTCCACAGAGCCATCATGTTTTGGCCTCGGGAAGTTACACTCGCATGAGCGTGAATCAATCGCACTGCCTTGAACAGGCAGAGCATCCTGAAGTCGAGATAGGAGCGCGCGATATAAACTCCGGTTTCTGGAAAGATGTGCGGAATCAAGCCACCGTTGACGCGATACGGCTCATGCTCTTTTGTAGCTTGCAATGACTAGGTATCCATGAAAGCAAAGGCGACTTCTGACGCGTCCACCCCTCAATGACGGTCGACTGAATACCACTCCCGGTACCGGCCGCACTGAGCAGCCCACTCCATTACTGATTCCGACGTCAAAGGACGGCTTGAGTGTACTTTCTGAAAGCTGAACTATGTTGAACTAAGTACCCGCCCGCCAATGTCGCATGCCCGATCGGGAATAACGCCTGCCTCGGCACCATTTCCGGCCAGCGACTCACATCATGTTCTCGAGCAACGTGCGCATCCATCTCCACGAACCTCGCGTCATTATTGGGGATTCCGCCAGGAGCTTGCAGTCCACTGCGCTCGCTGGTATGACTTAGTGACATCCATGGCAGAGCATCTGTTCCTACATGCCGCTTCTTCGACGCCATTTGCCTGTTTACACGGCTTCTGCGAACGCCATGCCGCTATTGCATTCGTACCCTCGTCGGTCGCAGCCAAACAGACAGCGCACGTGTGGCTCTTGGACTGAATATGCATCAAGATAGCCTCGTGTGCCTGGCTGTCGGGTCGCGTCATCGCGGGATCATCCCGGTCCTGACGGGCATGTATATAGGCTGTTGACATTCTTCACAAAGCATCTGCTCAGGCACGCGACAGTCAACCGCACTTTACAATGCTGTTTGTCGCTTCACTCAGCGTTCTGGCGCTCTCCGTCAACCAAGCTTTTGCTGGTCCGATCATCGATCGAGATAGTGATGCTGCTGCAGCCAATGTCACCACCTGCAATGGCAAACTTTACACCTACGAACAGCTAGCAGGTTACGGAAAACTTGTCAGCGACGCTCGTGACAAGTTTGGCGACACCGTTGGCGGTATTGGAAGCGCCATTGCATTCGAGAAGAAGTCATGGAAGTACAAGAAAGGTTCCTACGAGGGTGTCGTTTGGGGTTTGCCTGATCGTGGCTGGAATACTCAGGGTACCCAGAACACTCAGACCCGCATTCATAAGTTCAGCGTTGTCTTCACGCCGGTTGAAGCAACTCTTGAGAAATCGGCCAGCCCGAACTTCCAGTTCTCTTACATCGACACCCTGCTTCTCACCGGACCTGATGGTACGCCCTTGACTGGTCTGGATCCTACAGAAACCATCACCTACCCTGGCTTCCCAACTCTTCCTTTAGCCAGATGTAAGTTCTACATTCATATATCAATTACCAGCACTGATAGTTGCAGACACCGGCAACGGCTTCGGCCAAAATGGAACCGGTGGTGCTCGCGTCCCGCTAGACACTGAAGGCCTTGTCCTCGGAGACGACAAGACTTTCTGGATCAGTGACGAATACGCCGCGTACGTCTACCAGTTCGATAAGAAGGGCAAGATGATCAAAGCTGTTCGCACCCCCGAGGCTCTTGTTCCCCGCCGTAACGGAACTGAAAGCTTCAATGCAGCTTCTCCACCCATTTACGACCCTGATCTTGAGACCACGCCCGAGGATCCCGACAGTGGCAGAGGCAACAACCAGGGTCTAGAGGCTCTGACCGCCAGCCCAGATGGCAAGTACCTCTACACCATGCTCCAGAGCGCTACCATCCAGGACGGCGGCAGTTCCGCGAAGAAGCGTCGCAACACTCGCCTCCTCAAGTACCGTGTCAAAGACGACCAGACCACGCTAGAGGCGGAGTATGCTGTTCAGCTTCCTGTGCTGCCAACAGGCCGCGTCGCCAGCCAGTCCGAGATGCACTATATCTCCGAAACCCAGTTCCTCGTCCTAGCGCGCGACTCCAACGCTGGTCACGGAGCAGAAAGCACACTTTCCATCTACCGTAACGCGGATGTGATCGACATCTCCAAAGCCACTAACGTCGCACGCACAGCGGCCGATGACATCAAAGGGCAAATCGCAAGCAAAGATGGCGTCTTGAAGAGCAGCATCGTGCCTGCTACCTACTGCCCATGGCTGTCTTTCAACAACAACGACCAGCTTGGCAGATTCGGTCTTCACAACGGTGGCGAACAGGACGCGAATCTGCTGAATGAGAAGTGGGAGAGCTTCGCTATGTTGCCCGTTGACAAGGACGACAAGATTGGTAGGAGCGAGAGGCAAGATGAAGACGAAGGAAAACAGTACTATCTAGTGTCCTTCTCCGACAACGACTTCATCACTCAGAACGGTAAGTCATCTTCCTTCGCATTTCAAAGCCCATACTAACATATTGTAGGATACATCAACTTTGGTCAGAACAAGTACGTGGATGCGTCTGGTTACAACCTTGACAATCAGGTTTTGGTGTTCAAGGTCAAGCTTCCAAAGGGAGCGAACCCTTTATAGGTTATCATAGATGATATGCCGTGTCGCCAAAACCAACATGCATAATGTACAATTCATTCACTACACTCACATAATTCGACTACACCCTTATTCTGAGTCTGAACCAGAGCTATCTTCTTCAGCAGAAGAAGACATCACAACACTATCCCCAGACTCCCTTTCACTTCCCATATCCCTATTTTCCAGATCACCCACAACCTCATCCAGACTCTCTTCGATGACGTCATCCATGGTACGCTTCTTTGGGACGAGGGACATGGTACAGCCTCCTCTCGAGTTGCGACTCGTGGCAGTGGAGTCCCTCCTCGAGACACTGACAGAAGTGCTGTCGCCCTCAACCGCATCTGAGTCTCCAATTTCCTCTTTCGCTTCCTGTCGTTTCATCTTAGCTTCTTGCTTCTTGTCCAGCTCACTGTCCACTCTCTCAATCGCAAGCGCCAAAGCCTCTTCTGCTTCGTGTTCTTGAGCGAGAAGTTCGAAGTACACCTTGGCACACATCTGGTTGTGACTGACCGCTTCTCTCTTCGTAGTAGCGGGTTTGCCTATTTTGTATGGCTTCCTAGGTTTCCATATAGAGAGGCCTGGTGCTTCTTGGCGAACCACGACACCCGATGGGAGATAGAAGTCCATATCTTCGCTTTTGCCCAGACTAGTCCGACCGGCTCCACACCCTGGACAGGTCTTCTTATCGCCCGCTAGGTAGTACCGTCCGAGACCATGGTTGACGTCGCATCGCCAGGCAAGTTTCTCATCCGCTTTCTGCTTCTTCCAGTAATAGCCATCGGGAATCTCCTGACCGTGTTCCATAGTGGTCGAGCCACTGGGATGGGGGACAAGATCGGGCTCTGGCTCTGGCGTCGGCTCGGGTGTTGGCTCTTTCGGCGGTGCCTTTGGCCGAAGGTAACGGACCACGGCGTCGACAGCAATCTGCCGAGCTTCTTCTTCTGTCGCGCCAGTGCTTACGGCCTCCCAATATGCGTCCTTTGCCACAGCATTGTGACAAGGTCGGTCTGATTTGCGAAGTCGAGCAGTCTGCTTGCTAGGCTTCCAACGCATGTCTGGTGCGGATTGATGGTAAAAGGACCTCAGTGGCATAAGAAAGTCCATCTCAACAGCATGATTGTCACTGAGCGAAGTGTTACAGCCTCGACAGTTCTTGCGGTTCCCAGAGTTGTAGTAGTGACCCATTGCGTGTTTGCAACGACAACGCCAAGCGTACTTCTCATCCACTGAGATCGGCTCAAAGTAAGCGTCGGGAGGAAGGTGTTGATGTAGTTCCAAAGTCGTCGAACCACTCGGATGGAGCGATAGTGACTTGTTTGCCGACGGACTCTTCACGATTGACTGATGGGTCGATTGCTTGCCTGGCTTGGGTGCAGTCGATTGCTGCTGGGTAGAGTGACTTCGCATGACTTGCTTGTTTGCGGCTTCGTTCTTCCTCCTCCTCTTCTTTGAGGGCTCTGAGGGTGTCTTGTCAGATTCAGAATTGCTCAACGACCCACCAATATCTCGTCGAAGGATCTGTGGAGAGGAGAAGGAAGAGGACGCAGGAGTATTCATGTCTGAGTCCATTGGGAGACATTGCGATGCACGCGAATCAGGGGTGGTAGTTTCAGTTGACAGACTTTCACTGTTCTGCTGTGATCGAGCAGAACTTCCGGCTTGCTCTCGAAGTCGCTCTCTAGCTGCGATGGCTTCGAGCTTCTTCTGGTAGTCGTTGGCGATCGGACGAACACCCATAGACATGGCAGCAGCGACAACTTGCTTGAAGTTCTGAAACGCATGATCGAGAGCCTGTCGTGGGTTGCCCCACTTGAGTGTCAGCCGGCGCTTGTGATCATTGATCAACCTGGTTCGCCAGTGGTGTACCTTCTCTACGTGCTCGGAGCCGTTGCTTTGCTTGCATGCACCGGCACGGTCACTGATGGGTACTCCAGCATCATGGGAACCGAATAGATCTTCGTGTCTAGGGAAAGCTAGATGGAATTCCTCTTCCTGTGCATCATCTGGAGAGAAGGCATCTACAGGGTCTTGATACAGTTGGGTGAGATCTGACAGTATCCGAGGCTCCTGGTGAACATCAGACGCCTTTGCTTCATGACCGATATCGAGTGGACTGTTTGTAATGGGTTGAGGGTCGTGAAAGTCCGACATTGTGGCCAGCTGCGGGAACGGAATCCAGTTTCGACGAGATGAGGCCATTCTGTCATCTCTGGTTGCTGCTCCAGGCATGTTCTGACCTTTACGCTTCTTGGATGTTGAGAGCTTGACAGCACGACCGATGGGCAAAGTCATACTGAAGTTCTCTTTTCGAAACAGTGTCTGGGATACAGCGTCAAGATCCTCCAATGGACCGGCCTGATAGCCAAGTTCGTACTCCTTGGTTGAGTATCGTACCATCGTAGGATGTGAGCTGGTACGGTGCCAAGACACGTTGATCCTGTCTGCTACAGGAAAGAGATTGCCAGGACCGTACTTTGAGAAGGGTTTGGTGTCGAGAGCATGTGGATCGAGGAACGGTGCGCCGTCCATGCCGTCTCCAGCGAGAAGGTGTACAGTGCGGCAATGGCCATTCCAGATCATTTTCTTCGTGATACTGTTGACCTCATGTGATACAGACTTCATGTACTCGGCGATGCTTTGGCGGCCGCTGTTTGCATCTTCAGAACACTGGGCGAGGCGGTCGGGATGCAAGGCATGCGCTATGAAGTTGTTCAGAGAGGTGGCTTCGTAAGTCTTCTGGCTAGCTTGGTAAAGCACGTAGTTGATGTAGTCGGCCTTGGAAGGTATACGACGGTTCAGATGAACACCGGCACGAGCTCTTTGAACACGCGTAGGGTTCTGAAGGTTGTCATTGCTGTTTGAAGGAGCTGAGAAATGTAAGCAAACAGCCTCTATGCAGAGCAAGCTTCTTACCAGCTTGAAGTGTAAGACCACTGGGTATCCGGTGTTGGTCATATGTTTCCGATACGAAAAGCGAATCTTCTTCCTCGTAAGCGTCCGCGGTTGGGTTGTGATGAGTTGACTGGGGTGTAGCATCGATGAGTATTCGAGGTGGAGCGCCGAAAGAGCCGTCGCTCCAGTCGATTTCATCCTCGTCAGCGTATAACATGATGTTAGAGTAGGTAAATGAAGTTATGAGCAAATGATGGATATCGATGTTCAGAGATAGAATGATGGGATTCGAGAAGGAAGAGAATGATACTCTGATGACCTCGCCGCATAAATCCTGACGCGAGTTGAGCGCATATGCAAACAAAAGACATCATTCTAGCGTGCAAATTCAGTCATACTAGAGCTGAATGTGGATGTCCAAGATTCAAAGACAGAGCAAATCGAATGTATGTACAGCGTTTGTTAGAGACCGGAACATAGACGGCCACCCAAAAGCCGCGCCGTTGGCCCGATGGATGGCCGATTTTGAGAAATAGATCCACCAGGTTGGCGATTGAATGATGCTAGTGGGGGCATATTTGGTAACGCGGCCTGGATAGGAGGCTACTGTTCGTTTGATGCCGAGGAATGATGGTATGTCCGAGCTGAGCGCCAAACGCACTTTTGGGCGCTGAGGACATTGGGTGACGCATAATTCGAAAAGACGGTAAAGTAAACGCGAGGCAGTCATGCCATGGACAAGGTTAGTGTTCGCATTCCATTCGACTCACACAGGCTATGCGGAGTTGAAGTCATAGCCGACTGGACGGGATGCCGACACACATGTGCGAGTGCCAGTCGTCATTACGGACAGATGTGTGCACCAAGATGATAGCGAGTAAATACGGAGTCGCGACTTACGGCCTTGCAGATTGGGCGTGCCCTGGAGTTGTGGAGTGTCGGGTGGAGGTGAGGGCTGGGGCAGCTCGGATGGCGGCGCACGGGCCAGTGGACCCTGAAACTATGTCGATGTGGCATTTCGAGCATCTTGAGGCCTCGAGCTCCAATTGCTCTCTCCACATTCAAAATGGGAAGGAAGCACGTGTCCTCGCTAGCCTTCATTCTCCCTATCTTAGCCAGTACCGCAGATGCGGCGTCAGACCCCGCCCGGCCGCGGGGTGTCGCTCCGGAGTGTAAGTTGCATATGTCACAGCTCAGGGAGAGCTTCCACGTAGACGCTGGAGTATAGCTGATAGTCGATGTGCAGTTGCAAAGTACTACAAGGATGCCGAGACATTCACTTGTATCTCGAATCCCGCCATCAAACTCCCAATCGCACGCCTGAACGACGACTACTGCGACTGCCCCGATGGCTCTGATGAGCCAGGCACCTCGGCGTGCGCCTACCTCTCGCCCCTCTCCCCACCACAGCCTCTAGGCTTCAAGGGCAAAGACGTCAACGCTACGCCTGCTCTTCCTGGCTTCTACTGCAAGAACAAGGGCCACCAGCCGAGCTACATCCCCTTCACCAACGTAAACGATGGCGCATGCGACTACGAACTATGTTGTGACGGCAGCGACGAATACGAGCGTGTGGGGGGCATCAAGTGTGAAGACAAGTGCGCGTCGATTGGGAAAGAATGGCGGAAGGCGGACGAGGCGAGACAAAAGAGCCTGACCGCTGCAAAGCAAAGGAGGAAGGAGCTCATCGCCGAGGCTGGTCGCATGCGGAAGGAGGTCGAGGACCGCATTCAGACGCTCAAGACGCAGATAGAAGGTGCAACTCTCAAAGTCGACGGGCTGACCAAGAGCCTCGCCGAGATCGAGAGGGCTGAGCGAGGCAAGGTCGTCAAGGGCGCAGGCAAGGGCGGCAAGATCACAGTGCTGGCCAGCCTCGCCAAGGATAGAATCCAAGAGCTGACCGACAACGTCAACCGCGTACGAGACGAGAGGAACGCGGCACAATCACGGGTTGAGGAGCTCGAGGGCATGTTGAAGCGCTTCAAGGAGGAGTACAATCCCAACTTCAACGACGAAGGCGTGAAGCGTGCCGTGCAGGCCTGGGAGAACTATGCTGCACAAGAACGCCCGGGACCCAACAACGCTCTAGACCGCGACCTCGATGAGATTCTCAAGCCGGACTCTGAGAGCGCCATCAAATGGGACGAGTTCGAGACGGTTGAAGAGTCTGACGTGGAGCTCCGTAAGTCGTGTTTCCATGACCCATCTAAAACTACCTACTGACTATCGCACGCAGTCTACAAGTTCGAGGAGTACCTTCCCGACTCCATCCGTAGCTGGGTGGACAGCAAGCTGCGCGACTTGCGTGTCGCGCTCATCGAGAACGGTATCCTCGCAGACCCCACAACCGGCGATACGCCAGAATCAAAGGCCATTACCGACGCCAAGTCACAGCTTGACTCTGCGAAGAAGGAGCTCGAAGGCGACAAGTCGGAACTCACAAGGCATGAAGAAGATCTCATCAAAGACTACGGACCAGACTCCATCTTCCGCGCCCTCAAGGACCGCTGCACCTGCACTGACTCTGGCGAATACACATACGAGCACTGCTTCCTCTCAAAGACCACTCAGAAGCCTAAGAAAGGCGGTGGCCACACTGGCATGGGCAACTTTGCACGCATTGAATCGATCACCGTCGATGAAGAGCTTCCTGCCGATGGTAAGGGCTTGGGCAGTGGAGAAAGGATTGCAATCAAGTACGAGAATGGCCAACACTGCTGGAACGGCCCCAACCGAAGCACCATGGTCATTCTAGCGTGCGCTGAAAATGACGAAATTTGGAAGATCGTCGAGGAAGAAAAGTGCGTCTACCGAATGGAAGTAGGTACGCCTGCAGTCTGTGGCATCGAAGTACAAAAGGCTGCGCCAGCGCACAATGAGTTGTGAAGATATGAAGTTACGTGGAGACAAATTGGGCCGTTAGACATGACAATGTTCTGGAACATGTGTCGCTGTCTTTGCTCCCCCACATCAATTGGAGCGCGTTTGGAGTAAATAGCAACACGATTATCACCAGTTAGCGTGGAGTTAATCTATCCCCAATTTCCCCGCCTCCGCACCTTCCCGCCTCCGTCTACTACGTCATCCGCATCAGGGTCTCCTTCGGGAGAATGATATACCTCAAGCCGGCCTGAACTTAAACTCATGGGTGCCTAGGCATGCGGCCTAACATCAGCTTACTTTGTACACCAGCCCCGCGGGTCGGGTCCGGCAGTTATTGTTAACTTTCTTCGGCCCGTATGGAATCTTCAATAATATAAGACGCGGCGTTGCGACGCAGCCACGGAAAGGACGGCACCTGGAACAACGACCAATCATCAAAGAATGTCCGCAAACGGGTCAACTACAGCATCATTCCAGAACCACAATGGTCTTCCGATCGCAATCGTTGGCGGCGGACTTGGTGGTGCCGCGCTCGCCATTGGTCTTCTAAAACATGGGGTCAAAGTGCACATCTACGAAGCCTCTCAGGCCTTCGCTGAGATAGGCGCCGGTGTTGGATTCGGTGCTAACGCCACGACGGCATTGCACCTTATCGATCCTCGACTGCTGGAAGGCTACATGAAACACGCCACGATAAACACAGACCCTGAACGCGAAAACACCTTCAACACGATAAGATGGGGCATGGACGAGCGGCGACCTAATGGAGCTAAAGCGGGAGATCTCGGTTTCCACCAGATGGACGCCAAGAAGACACCAGATGCGCCGACTGGATTTTGTATGCGAGGCCGTATACACCGGGCGCGTCTGCTCGATGAGATGGTCGCGTTGCTTCCCAAGGACATAACAAGCTTCGGCAAAAGCTTCCAGAGTGTTGGGGAAGTGGGTGCTGGTATGCTCAAGATAAACTTCGCCGACGGAACGACTACTCTAGCCAGTGCACTCATTGGCTGCGATGGCATCAAGAGCAAGGTACGAAGCTTTGTATGTGGTCCAGATGTGAAGCCAGCGTACGCTCACGAGGCCGCGATAAGGGCTATGGCCCCAGCTGAAGTGGTTAAGAAAGCGCTAGGAGAAGAAAGGGCACTGAACGGTACATTGTACTGTGGTTATGGAGGAAGTTGCATCACCTACCCTGTCGACCATGGCGAACTCATCAACATGGTTGCTATGCCACACGATCGATCCCTCACCAGCACTTGGGACCAGGATGACTGGATAGTACCCACGAGTGCGGATGAGGTCCGTGAAAAGTTCAAAGGCTTTTATCCGCCACTCATCGATCTTATCGCGAGACATACTTTACCATCGAAATGGGCACTACACACTCTTCAACACGATAAGCCATATTTCAAGGGTCGTATGTGTCTACTGGGTGACAGCGCACACGCCACGACGCCTCACATGGGAGCTGGAGCTGGCATGGCTATGGAAGATGCATTTCTCCTCAGTCGCTTGATAGCTGATGTCGGAAGTTCTGATAATATTGAGGCTGCCTTCAAGGCCTATGATGCTGTCAGACGACCTAGAACACAGGGATGTATTCAGAGGAGTATCGAAAATGGTCTAGCATACAACTTCATGGTGGAAGGGGTAGAAGATGATATGAATAAGCTTGAGCAGAAGCTCAATGAGAACTTTCGGTGGCTTTGGTATGAGGAATTGGAAGAGCAACTGCGCAGGGCGCAAAAGGTTCTAAAGGAAACAAGCGGACATGATGTTAGTCAGCTTTAGCGTGCTCGGGATCTAATCTCGCGCAACTGTTCTAATTTCTTACAATCAATCGCTCTACTTGCATCTAAATCCAGATGGCGTCTATCAATACATACAATGAAGTGTCGGCCTTCGCTCCTTCAGTTTGACGATCCAGACCAATGCAGCTTACGTCATAGGCCCGAAGGTTTCGGCGATACCGCCGCTCCCGCCAACAAGTTCTGTCTCCTGCTAAGTCCAGGTACCATCTCGCTTCCAGCGGCTACATATCTCTATGCGGGCACACTTTACCACCAAAAGACTAGATAATCTTTAGGAAGATGCCCGTCAGGGTCTACACCGGCGTGGAACGCCTTGGAAAATTCTACGAGCCAAATACCGCGCGGATGCCGAGATCGACCGAGCTCTGATTTCAAACCATCGGACGGGATGTGCTTAGTAGGGGCGTATATAGCCTTTTTGATCCGTCTGGAGTCTTGTTATTCAACCCTCACAGCTGCTGTTTTTGGTTTCCTTTAATATCTTCCTACATGTCCGAACTCTCAAACTTACCAAAATCAAACACCCACAACACCAAGATGTCCGCAGACCGCCTCTTCCAGCCGCTCAAGGTGGGCGCCATGGAGCTCAAGAACCGTATTGCCATGGCACCTCTGACGCGTTTCCGTGTCAACGACGACCATGAGATCCTGCCCATGGCTGCACAGTACTACGGCCAGCGTGCTTGCGTACCGGGAACCCTCCTCATCACCGAAGCCACCCTGGTCTCGAAACAATCTGGTGGTTACCCCAACGTACCCGGTATCTACACTCAGGCTCAGATCGACGCATGGAAACCAGTAACCAAGGCTGTCCACGAGAAGGGCTCGTACATTTACCTCCAGCTTTGGGCCCTTGGACGTGTAGCAAACAAGGACTTTGCTGCGGCGAACGACATTACCATCAAGTCTTCCAGCCCAACATCGCTAGGCGAGGGATACGCTACTCCCAAGGAGATGACCGTTGAGGACATCAAGCAGAGTATCTCCGACTACGCACAAGCAGCCAAGAACGCTATCGAGGCTGGCTTCGACGGTGTAGAGATCCACGCTGCCAACGGCTACCTTATCGATCAATTCCTGCAAGACACCTGCAACAAGCGCACCGACTCCTACGGCGGCTCTGTTGAGAACCGCTCCAGGTTCTGTGTCGAGGTCACCCAGGCTGTAGTAGAGGCCGTTGGCGCCGACAAGACCGGCATCCGATTGAGTCCGTTCTCCGAGTTCCAGGGTATGAAGATGAAGGACCCCCTCCCTCAGTTCACAGACATCATGAAGAGACTAGATGCATTCAACCTGGCCTACCTCCATCTCGTCGAGGCCCGCGTATCTGGCAACGCAGATGTTGAGGGCTACGACTCTCTCGACCCTCTACTGCCCCACTACTCTGGCAAGCTGCTCATCGCTGGTGGACTCAAGGCCGAGGATGCGAAGAAGATCGTCGAGGAGCACAAGGACCGCGATGTCGTGGCCGTGTTCGGACGCTACTTCATCAGCACACCTGATCTCGTTTTCCGGATAGAGAAGGGAATCGAGCTTACTCCTTACGACCGCGACACCTTTTACGTTCCCAAGAGCGAGAAGGGATACATTGACTACCCTTTCAGCAAGGAGTGGAAGGAGGCGCACCCTAACTTGTAGATACGGCGCAAAAAGATACCCAGTAGCGTTTACGAGTTTGATAGAATAATTGGACAACGATTCTGAGACGCACTTTTCTTGTAACTACTCTGCTCTACTTCGGTCTCACGCAATCTCGGATGTAGCCGCTGGCACGTCCTCGTACTAACGCATGTCAGCCCCCATCTTTAGTGCCGTTATTGCGCAACCTGCGGGCCCTCAAAACATACAACATCTATAAATCTGATAGTTCCAAAAATGGAGGTCGGGATGCGCGACGGCATATGAAGAACATGGACCGCGATGGCACGCCTAAAGGATGCAGTCAGGTGTTGGTGCCCGGTAAACAGTCGCGGTAACCGTCACAACTCAGCATAACAAGTGACGTAGATGCGAAAGTAGGCAATGCCACATGTTACGTGCGCCGGAGCAAAGCTCGGTAGTAGATTAATATATATGGCGGGAGTTCATCCGGGGTAATGATCCAAGATCCCTGATCCCGCACAGTTACTCCACATCATTCCCCTGGTGGCTAACCTCAGTGGGAACAAACACCTCCATCGACCGACGAAAGCAGCAGGTACGCCGTTTCAGTCGCATGCCATTGGAGAAGAAAGAGTGTTTTGAAACAACGCACGAACTTGATGCTCTCACATGCGCATAGCCGTGCCTCCTCGCTTCGGAACTTTTAGATTGACACCTTAACATCCGTTTATGTCGGCTAGTATTCACGGGGAAACAAGCTCGATATGTTTAGTGCTGGCGACGATCGCACGATGAGTGTGCTGTGGGTATAAGAAGGGGAGGAGCGTGCAGGAAATCGTTTGTTGCGGACTCTAACAACACTCACGATGCACTTCTCCACCTCAGTACTCGGCAGCATTGCTGCGCTCTGCGCAACTGCCAATGGCGCCCTTACTCGTGTCAACGACTTCGGAGCGAACCCATCCAACCTTCAGATGAACATCTACGTTCCTGCTAAGGTTGCGGAGAAGCCTGCCATCATCCTCGCCGTACGTCTTGCCACTCCGTCCACTCTGTGAAGACCGTCTTTCTGACCATTGAATAGCTGCACTACTGCGGCGGCACCGGCGAAGCCTACGCCCAATCGACAAAGTACAACAGCCTCGCCGAGCAAAAAGGCTTCATCAACATCTTCCCCTCCACCAAGAAAGACAACAACTGCTGGGAAGTCAACACCGCCAAGGGTCTCTCCCGCGATGCCGGCGGCGACAACCAAGGCCTCAACAACATGATCCAGTACACCATCAAGAAGTACAACGCCGACCCCACCAAGGTCTTCGTCACCGGCAGCAGTTCCGGATGCATGATGACCAACGTCATGATGGCCACCTACCCAGACGTCATCGCCGCAGGCTCATGCTACTCCGGTGTCGCCGCAGGCTGTGTTGCAGGCAGCCCCGGCGCCAGCCCCAGCACCGCAGACCCGCGATGCGCAAACGGACAGGTCATCAAGTCGCAGGCTGAATGGGTTGCTCAGGTCAAGGCTATGTACCCTGGCTACAGCGGCACTTACCCTCGCATGGCGACTTGGCACGGAACTGCTGACTCGCTGGTTAAGATCCCTAACTTGGGTGAGCAGTTGAAGGAGTGGAGTGGATTGCTGGGTGTTTCGTTCACGAAGAACGAGACGAACACTCCGCAGAGTGGTTACACGAAGATGGTCTATGGTGATGGGACGAAGCTTGTAGGTTACAGTGCTCTGAATGTCGGTCACACTGTGCCGGTGCATGAGGCGGAGGACCTCAAGTGGTTTGGACTTTGAGTGGAATGATGAGACTACGACACGATTTGTTAGCCTAGCTTGAATGTATATATCTTTGGACATCGGTGTCAATCTTGACATGATGTGAGCATGATTCTTCGTATTCTTCGTATTCAAGTGTCGGCATGAGGATTACTGTGTTGCTACGAGCTGCGAGCCGATGCTTTTGCCGCTCTGATGCCTCTGAGATAGTGTTGGTGTTATGCGAAAAGACAGCTAGACCTAGATTGCAGGTTAGGTTGACTACATTTGACGGATTAGTAGTTCGGATAATGGGGTATATTCATGACTTCGTGCCGACCAGTAACTACCTCATAACCGGCGGTCTTGCCTCTTTATTGAATGCCATCCTACTACATAGCCATTCCACCGCCTCTTGCACACCAGTTCCTGTGAGCGCACTGCAAGGAAGCACTCTACTGTCTCTAACATTTCCACCCTTCTCTCCCTCAAACACTCTTCTCACAAAGCCCTCTTTAATCCTCACCACTTCGACGCAGTCTTCTCGATCTTGCTTGTTCGCCAGTATCAAGATGGGCACGCCGCTGGCATCTTCGTTCGCTAACACGCTCTCCAAGACCAACTTGCACTCATCCAACCGCCCAATATCTTCTATGCTTGCAGCATTGTTCGCGCTCATGTCGGCTAGCGTGGCGTTGCCCACATCACTGCTATCTATAACGAAGACGATGGCGTGACAGCTGCTGTAGTACGACTGCCAAAGCCCGCGCAAGCTATGTTGGCCGCCGACGTCCCATATCTTGAGGTAAATGGGTGGATTTGGAGGTGGGAGGGCGATGGTAGCAACGTTTTGGCCGACGGTGGGGACGGTCTTGAGGTTGGGGTGCGAGGCCGAGTAGGTGCCTTTTATCTGCTCGAGGAGGGTTGTCTTGCCGGCATTGTCGAGGCCTAGGAGGAGGACGGAGTACTCTGCGATACGTTAGTTTTAGTGCGGTTGGTGCATCGAGACTTGGGATGCGTACCTTCCTTACTTGTCGCATGGAGATATATCGACTTGAAGAGGTGATACATGGTTTGCGCGACGCGTTATGTCGACGCGCGCTTCACATGGCCGGCGGGTGAGGGTCTACGGCGCGCGGTTGATGGGGAACGTGTCATACCGTTGTTATCGATAAGCAGGCAGATATATCCCGGAATGCGATCTTCGTCATCCCACCTACAACCTCTCCCCACCACTTACTACAACATTTGCAAGGGCGAGCAAGGCAGTGTAAGTGTTTGGAATGATCAATAGATGTATGTATGCTAACAGCCACAGGAACCCACGGGCGAGCCAAGCAGTGAACCCAAGCTTAACCCAAAAACTCCTCTTTTCGACCTCCGGGAAGTCATCATGTCTACGCCAGCTGTTACGCCATCCGCAGCCTGGCCCATCGCCAACACCATCCTGGCCGAAAAGCTTCTGGACCTAATCCAGCAAGCAACCCACTACCACCAAATCTCCAAGGGCGCCAATGAAGCAACCAAAACGTTGAACCGAGGCACCTCCGAGCTCATCATCATGGCTAGCGACGCCGAGCCCCTCGCCATTACACTTCATCTTCCACTCTTGTGTGAGGACAAGAACGTGCCGTTCGTCTATGTGCCTAGTAAAATGGCACTGGGACGGGCCTGTGGCGTCGGCCGCTCGGTTGTGGCAGTCAGTCTCACCAGCAATGAGGCGAGTGATTTGATGGGGCAGATTAGGGTAGTGAAGGATGCGGTGGAGAGGATTGCGATTTGATAAGGAGTGGGTCTGGAAATGGCTCAGCTTTAAGTTATTGAGTCCTGGTACTGGCGTAGTATGGGGATGGACAGCAGGTCTGCGCGACACGAGACGCATGGTAGTTTCGGAATACACTCTTTAGACAGATAGAAATATCAACATTCTCTCCGGATCCCGTCTCGTCTCTAAATAGTCTTGGTCTTTTCTTGCAAGCTCGGTGGACCTTGCACGTCTCGGCCCAGTATTGTACCGGTGATGTTGGCACCTGATCAGCTCGTCTGACGTACCTGAAACCACGAGCCTTAGTGTTGCGTGCCGCCCACATCGTACCTGATCTGAGCAAGTTGACAAACATTGCTTAGAGGTAGGCGGCACGCAGCATCAAGACCGGTTCAATGCTCTTCAACTATCTTGAAGCCCTCGGGGTTCTTCTCGATTAGTAGTGCCCACTTTGACTCGTCGATGTGATCACACAATGCCTCCCAATCTGGATCCGGTCTATCGGACGGTTTACCGATTCTCGGATCGTTATGGTAGTCTTCCCAGCGCTGCAAGAGACTCATGATCTCGGAAACGTCTTCCCTTACCCCTCTCCCCATGCGTCGTTTCCCCAGCTCTTCCAGTGGTGTGTAAGGGTGTAGATATTCAGGTTCGTCAGCCCATAGTTCTATTATCAGATCACTCATACTCTCGAAGACATTCCGAGGGATCTTCCCGTTCTCATTCATCAGTGTTGGATCGGCGCCACACCTGAGCAAAATTTGGTACAGTGTATAAAACCTGAGAGGTGAGTCGTTTTGGCTGCACACCATGCTCAAGGTGTCATAAGCGACTTCATGTTTAGCATAAGTGACTAATAACATGAAGATCGTAATGTCTCCGTCTCGACCAAAGGCGCGCTGACGTGCATAGTCCAAGTCTGAATCTTCGACACTGCTTCCATGTTTCAGCATAAGCTCCATGCATTCGAGTGATTGCTTGTCTGGTTTGTATGACATTGCATATATCAGAAGTGACTTATGATGGTGGTCTCTTACGTTGAGCATTCGCTGCAACATTGCTGCGTCCGTTTCCAAATTGATCAGTCTTTCCAGATCATTCGTGGAAGCAGTCTTCAATGCCTTTACCGCCTCGGACCAGTCACGCCCACCACGATGAATCAAAGCCTCTCTTATTCGACTTCTTAGTAATGTCTCGTCGTTGACTGTCGATGCAAAAGTTAAGCTGGAGTCTAAATCCTTTAGCTCAAACGTGTGTCCTTCTTGTAGGACGGACTCCCACATGTTGCCTGATCGATCGGGATCGAAATATCGATCCGCTGCAAATTTTACCGATTGTTGAAGTATTATAGAGATGTCAATGTTCAGAGCAAGGAGAAGCTCCAATTTTGCGTCATTATCGAGCGTAGAGGAGCCAATGACATCATGAGTCAACCTGTCCAGGGTCTCCATCGATAGCTGGTCATGACGGTCGTCCAGGATCGTCTCTAGAGAAGACTCGTCTAGATCCCCTTTCCAGCCCAGTTCGAAGATCCTGTAGGCATTTGGCTGCCTTTCTAATACGACTCTAGGATCTGTCAGTCGGTAGGCAGACTTCGCTTTGCGCTTGTTGATGGCAAAGCGGAGTAGTGAAGACTGGCCGAAATGTGGATGTATCCCCAGTGCTCTCCATTCAGGCCACAAGTGCTGCAAAACCTTCAAAACACCCACCTTTTCCCCAAGGATAGCGGTCTTGAAAGCTCGACGCACAGCATCTTCTACGTCCGCGTGGGTTCGTGGAAGACGTTCCATGATCCAGCGAACGGCCTCGAGTGTGCCAGTATTACATGCAATCTCCAAAGGGGTTTCAGAGGCCAAGTTCTTGAGCAGCAGAGAGTCGTGGTTGATGGAGTCCTTGGTGAATTTGAAACGTGTTTTGACTAGGATATCGGTGTTATTGTGGCGAGCGGCTAGATGAATGGGATAGTCGCCATCATCATTGGGTTCATCCAGTGGAGCACCTTGGTCCAGACAATCGATGATGCCGTCCGGGTCATTGTAAGTAAAACCATCCATGAGGTCTTGCCAAAGCTTCTTGCGCGCTATGGGGTCGATTATCAGGGGCGGTTTCAGTACCGTTTCGACCATACTTTCGTCTACCAAGAGATGGTCTGAGTAGTCTAGTCCTAGATGGAAAGGCCATCGCTGCATAATCCAAACCCAGGGTTTCCAGGTCTTCCAAGTTGGCTGTGGGTATGCCTGGCTGATTGGTAGTCCACTGGGTGTGGCGGTCTGCGCACGTTCATCCACGCTCTCAGCAGTGAATAGCCTCCAGATGGCGTATGCGACATGGCAAATGGCACAGATCGCTATGATGGCATTGGCACTTTGCCCCCACTCGCTTATCAAACTGTGCCAGGATTGTTCGATAGTATTTGTTCCACGCAGGATGTTGACTATCGATAGTCCATGGAGCAGCACAAATGACCAATAGATCAGATAGCTTGTTGCCAAGGTGGCTGGTAGTGACCTCCAGAGAGCTGTGGCTTTGACGCGTGCGCTTCGTGTAGCATTGTTCTTGTTTTCGATCTTGTTCAAGCTCGATGTGAGACGGTAGGCCACCTGACATGGAAATATTGATGCCGCGATGCGAAAAGCCAAGTAAATCCAGTATGCTGCCGAATAGTGCTGGGACGACGATTGGTGCGTTGTAGAGGACTGACACGGTATCTTGTCACGCCGGATGTATGTGCTGAAAGCTATAGCCTGCACAATAGACGCGGCAATCTGCGTCAGGAACCCAAAGCTAACCAGCTTCCGAGCAGCAAGCACGTCCTTATCCGAAAAGGCCATCGATACCGAAGCACTAACTGCATCAATGCTAGAGAGAGCAATGACAAGCTCCTGAGAGTTTAGTCCTTTCCTCCCCTTGGCAAGATTGATCGTGAGATAAAGCAAGTCTATGCCATGTTAAACCCAGAATAGCCTTCAAATTTCTTCGCAACTTACTTGCACACTGAGCCATGCAAAGTTCTTTCGCACCTGAAGTATGTGCTGTGAAATGACCTAAGATTAGTACCAGGAGGAGTACAAGACAAGGTAGGAAAAGGCCAAGCAGGACACCAATGCCCCCAACATCCGGATTGATTTCGTGGTTTTCTTGCAAACAGGCTTCAGATCTGCTGTTACCGAGTAACGGTACAACAACCAAGGCAACTGCAGCCAGTATCGAGCAGATGACTGGTCCCGCTTGGAGGAGCCGAGCACGCTTTCTCGATGTATCCTCTGCAAAAATCCCGCTCTGTAGGCGTATTTTGTCCAAGTAGACGAGATGAACTGTGTAGGCAAATGCAACAACGCTCGTGGTCACGAGGAAGATATTCAGGAGGTCCATGTTCCGGTACGGTTGGGACGACAGAAGCTGATGAGATACGTCAGGGGGTGACTTCGCCAGCGGAAACCAGGTCTGAGATGCGGGAGGCCAGGAGGGCAGTCTTTTCAAGCATGTTCTAGGTTCGGGTCGAGAGTGCGGCTGAAGCTCGCGTTGGGCAGTTTGGCACTGCCCCAGATGTGGCTGCGTCTATGGCTGAACCAGTGCATTGCGCTACTGGCACCAGGCGCGGCCAGGTTTTGGTTGATGTTGCTGAATACGCACTATTAACTGTTGACAACTGGATACATCCCGAGGCAACGTATTCCTCTACCTAGATAGAGATAGGGTGTACGATCATACATCGATGTCTTGTGAACTGCAACACGACTGGTATACATGCCTAGTGCCGGATGAGGGGTTCGCGGCTCCACCTGGGCAGGGCTGCAGCATCTTAGACGACGGGGCGGACTGGTGCCGTAGCTTCTACAGCGATACTGCATAAGAAGCTGCTACATCTCGATTAATGAACAGGCGAACCGATTCCGTACTGTAGGACCAGATGCCGATGGAACATTTGCCAGCTCAAGGGTGGTACACGTGCCCGACGACACGCATGTGACATTCGAGCTGGGCTGAACGCTAACCTTTGGTGACACTAGTGTGTGGAGCCGCATGCAGGCGTAGATATCGAAGTGCTCATTGTTCTAGACTGCAAAGGACCTAGCTAGCTGGGCGTTCGCGCCTTGTTCTACCAGCAGCAGATGTCTTTTCTTATGTCGTGTGTCTTGGGAGGGTGTAGGATTGGGACGTTGGGATGCAGGAGACTACCTTAGTACTACTTCTCCAGCCACAGCTCAGATGACATCATGCTTGCACCGCCACGCTCTGCATTGTAGAATAGTACTAACAGCGACCGTTATTCTAGGCGATTCTTGACGTTGACATTCAGTTGCCGCGGAAGCCGTGAATTACGTGCAGCTTGCCTGGGCAGTGGTTATCTTATCTGGAGCAGGGTGAGACATTGGGCGCTAAAGTCATGGATCGCCGGGGAATGGGACGTCTAACAGGGTCATCTGCAGCTTTGCTCCCACCCACACGCACACTCAGAGGGGCACGACGAGCGCGGTAATGCATCTTTGCCCTTGCCTAACAGCTGTCATCGTACGGCGGCAGAATCGTGACTTGTGCGGAGAGCCACGTAGTTTGAGCATTTGAGCTGTGACCACAGCAGCTCCCAAAACAAGGTTGAACTACAGATAGTCTGACAGCCTGCCCTTGCCCAACCTCACAGCGCCCTCGCACAGCGACACCACCATGGAAGATCGCACGCCCGCCGCGGGTAAAGCGAAGCCGTCGCCCGAGACGTCGCGCCGCAGCAGCACCTATGGCACCGGCAGCGACACGCCCACCCAGAGCGCGACGCCCAGCGACTCGGCGCGCAGACGGCCGCAAGCTGCCATGCAGCCCTCTGGTTATGGTACGCGCATCATCTGGCGACCCGGGGAGGATATCACGATGCTAACGCCACTGCAGGCTCCATCACGTCCGGCATCGAGCGCCGCCAGCAGGCCGCAGCGACGGCGCACGAAAGCTCGACCAAGCCCAAGAAGCCGCCCATGAGCCGGCGCGCTACGTCGTCGAAATGGCCGCAGAAGGGGCAGGAGTTCAGTGTCGACGACGCCGAAGAGGAGGTGGAGCTGGACCAGGCCCAGCAGGACCAGCAGAAGAAGCAGCGGCAGACACTGCGCCGCAAGCCCTCGACCGTCCGCCGCCGCACCGCCGCGCCCCCACCCAACCTAGCCACCATCGACTCGACCGAAGACGACGAGGTCGAGCAGGAGAACGCCGGCCCTCCGACCGGCGCCGATGCAGACGCGACGCCCTCGTCCAGCGAGGAGACGGTACAAGCAGAGGAGGAGGAGAGCGGAGGCGGCGATGAAGACGACGACTTGAGCGACGCCGAGAGCTTCACCCTGCGCGACCGCCAGGACGCCATCAACGTCACACATCCCTTCGGTATCAGGATCTGGAAGCCCGCGCTTTACAAGAAGGGCCGGTCGGTCCAGCGCAACGCTGAAGAAGACATCCACTCGTCGCCAGGCCTCTTTGTCAGCCGATGGCTGCTTCTCTTCAACCTCGTATGGACCCTCGTATTCGGATGGTGGCTAGCTGCTGTTGCTACGGTGGGTGGTCTGCTGTGCGCGCTCCTGGGCTTCAACGAAAGCTGCAAGGAGTACTCCCATTTGCTTTTCGCCCTAGCCGGCTACCTCTTCTACCCCTTCGGCAAATACGTCAAGCTCATGCAGGATGAGGCCTACATTGAAGAGGACGAGGGCGAGGGTCGCAGCATCAGCGAGTACGAGCAGTGGCAGAGCGGCGACATTGAAGAAGGACGCCTCTTCTTTGGTCCAACAACCGGCACAAGCTCCTTGATCGGCCGCCGGCGCAACAGCGTAGATTCCACAGGTGGAGAGACGACAAGCCTCCTCGGTAGAGATGGACGTGCCAATGTCAACCACACCGATACGGCCAACACTAAGAGGAGGCTTTTTGGCCGTGGCAAGTGGAATCTTGGCCGAGTCGTCTTCTTCTTGTTCTTCTACGGCTTCCTTACACCCTCGCTGTTCCTGGTCTCGGCTCTGTGCTGGTTCCTCGTCTTCACCATTCCCATGGGCAAAACTACCCTGCTGCTGTTCGACCATCTGCGACGTCATCCCCTGGCACTGTCGTTCCACTCTGACAACGGCAACGTGCGCCGCCCCGGAGAGTCGTCGTCGATCCTGCTCTGTACCTACCGGGCAGTCGGTATCAAGTACTGGAAGTACACCATCGACGGAACCAACATCTTCCTCATCAACCTCCTGGGCCTGGTCGCTTTCACCATCTTCGACTACTTCGTCTTGGCTGAGGCCTTGGAGATGAAGTTCTGGCTGACGGACCAGTTCTTGCTGTTCTCACTAGCACTGCTGTCTATCATTCCGTTGGCATACTTCATTGGTCAGGCTGTAGCTTCCATCTCAGCCCAGTCCTCCATGGGTGTTGGCGCTACTATCAACGCTTTCTTCTCTACTGTCGTCGAAGTCTTCTTGTACTGCGTAGCCCTCAAACAAGGCAAAGCTCAACTCGTCGAGGGTAGTATCATCGGCAGTATCTTTGCAGGTATTCTGTTCCTACCAGGACTGTCTATGTGCTTTGGCGCTCTCAAGCGCAAGACTCAGCGTTTCAATGTGCGATCCGCTGGTGTCACTTCAACTATGCTCCTATTCGCCGTTATTGGCGCTTTCGGTCCGACATTGTTCTACCAGATCTACGGAAGCGTGAGTATAGCCCCATTGCACGTCGGTCCTGTGCTAACTCAAACCAGCATGAACTCAACTGCCACTCATGCGTGCACTCTAATCACCACGTTCCCCTTGAGCGAGACTGCCGTAGATGTTACTACTCACAAACACCAGCACTCAATGATCGCTTCTACAACGAAGCTGTGAAGCCTTACACCTGGTTCGCGGCTGCTCTCCTGTTCTTCTCCTACATCATTGGTCTTCTGTTCACCCTTCGTACCCATGCCGCGACAATTTGGACGGAGCCAGATGCTCAAGAGAAGAAGTTACTCGAGATGAGCGCCAGTAGTCTCAGCCAAAGCGGCCACATGGACTTCCCACATGCTTCTTTCGTCAGGCAAGCGACAGGAAACTCCATATCTCGTGCGCACATACGCGACAGCCAGCTGTATAAGCGCATGGTTAGCCAGACTTTGCAAGAAGTTGGGCTTGGGCCTGAGCACACTGCATCAGATACCGGGCGGCCTGGATCCAAATCGGATAGCAACACTCCGCACATGGTACCGCCAAAAGAGAGCGACGCTGTCTCGCACCACTCTTTCCACGTTGAGGGACTTACAGATGATGCTGCAGAGTCGCTTGCGCGACAAATCACTGAGATCGCGGCAACAACGACCGCTTTGGCGACGCGTGACGTTACCAGGGCTCCACGCAAGGCAGCGCAACTCGCCCATACATCAACCAAAGCGCATGCAGAACGCCCCGCTCACACGCGAACGAACACAGAAGCTGCACCCGAGGAGCTTGATACAGCGACTGGCCATGCCTCCGGTGGGCACGATGCACCGAACTGGAGCCGCCAAAAGAGTGCTGCTATCCTGCTGACTGCGACTGTCGCATATGCCATCATCGCAGAGATTCTCGTCAATACCGTTGATGGTGTTCTCGAGGGCTCTGACATTGATGAGAAGTTCCTGGGTATCACTCTCTTCGCATTAGTACCGAACACGACTGAATTCCTCAACGCCATCTCGTTTGCCATGAACGGCAACATTGCACTGTCCATGGAAATCGGTTCCGCATACGCTCTCCAAGTGTGTCTCCTCCAGATTCCCGCCTTGGTGTTTTACAGCGCCATCCACACAGGCTACATTCCGGCTCAGGACGTTGCCAGCCAGACGTTCACTCTCATCTTCCCGCAATGGGACATGGTTACTGTCATCCTCTGCGTCTTTCTCTTGTCGTACATGTACGGCGAGGGTAAGAGCAACTACTTCAAGGGCTCTATTCTTATCTTGTCGTATCTTGTCGTCATTGCCGGCTTCTACCTGTCCGGGTTCAACGACTTCCAGAAGATGGGTGTCGATCCGATGGATACGCTGGCGCTTGGGGGGTTGGTCGAGCAGCAGGTGCAGTCTATGACATTCAAGACACCTGGAAGAGGTCGCAGTGGCGTGGCGTACTGAAAAGCTTTATTGTGATATTGAGGTATGGAGGGGGATGTTAGAAGAATGTTAATGAGTGTTTGCAATGGGCAGGTTTCTGCACAAAAGGTACATAGCGCAGGCGTTTGAGGAAAACTTTATATTGGGAATAATTAGTTATGAAACGCACAAATAGTGGCACGACTGCCACGTAATCTGACATGAAGATGCTCTGTTGATCTGTGAAGTATGATTCATGTTGGGCTGCACGCAGGTCGAGCGGTGATTGATGATCAGCCAATGCAGCGTGCAATGTTCCTCCGGTGCGGCACCAGAGAAAGCGTATGCATGAGCTCCTAACTCGGACTGCTGACAGAAACTTGATCAGGAAGTGCTCGAACATAGTGTTTCGCATAGTCGTCTACGTGAAGCCTATAGCTTCAGAGAAACATGAAGTCGGTCCGTGAACGCTGCTCAGCCATGCAGGTGACGACGGCTTCACAGCACCCTGCGATGGGCGTGCGAAGTCGAGATGGGCGGAGTGAGGCGGGTATATCTTACAGGTCACGATGCGACGAAGTCCGCAAGTCGCAGCGCATGGAGTGGGGCGCCCGGGCGATCCAACGTGGGAGGATTGGAGAGGAGGGTGCGCGCACATGGTGCGGCAGTCTCGGAGTGGCAGATTACAGTGGGTCGCCGGCGTCAGCGGGCGTGTGAAGATCAATCGATACGCCATGGCAGTCCGCGCCTCTCCGTTGAGGCTTCAATCGACCCTCTCTGCCCCGTCTATTTCTATGTCGAGGTTTGGTGTTCGCGCGCGATATGGTAGTGCGCAGTCGCGGGATTTGCTTTGTCGTACACTCGCCTTAAACCGCCGGGGCTTCGGACGCGCGACAGCTGAGGAAGCCACACCCCGCGCTCGAGATCTTCTCTCCATGAGGCGTCGGGCCTGGTGTGCTGGTCATCGATAAGGCCGACGGTCAGCCGTTCGCTGCTGAGCGAGCGATATTGCTACCCAGTGTTGCATCATACACAGCATAGACCCTGAGATGCTACTCGTGCGACCGCACCGCCTGCCGTCGCGATTGGCGTGTCTTGCGTTCGCGACCGTCGCCACGGCCACGATATCCTCGTCTAACACGTCTACCGCGCGTACAAATCTTTACGACGGCACTCTGCCGCTCACTAACGCTCAAGGCGACGACGGGACCAGGATTGCCGACCTGATCCCATTGACTAAGGATGCCGCCAACTCAGTTCGTCAAACACTATTCGTCGCATCGCCTTCATGCACTGACAAAGCACTAGGTCCAGGGCAATCTGTACAATACCAACTACACCAGCGTCGTCGGCATCTCCAATGACGAAATCGCATACATCAGCTGCGACACCACCGACTACAACGGCTACGACACTGCGCAGGGCGTCTTCGAACAAACCTACTTGCAAGGCAACATCTCGGCAGTCATACTGTACAGCAGGACGTCGGACTACTGCAACTACACTCAGGATAAGACACAGGTCATGATGGACGAGTTCGCCATATACTCGATGACGAACAGAGCGGACTCGGCAAAGGTGCGCAACGACATCATCGACATGCCGGCAGCCATGAAATACTTCGTCCAAGTCAAGGCGCGGGATGAGGGGAACAACGATTCCGGCAATGGCCAATACCAGCAGAACCCGCTGGGGCCTTCGCCTTCGACCGCCGTTGCTATGATCATCCTGTACAGCATCACCGGCATCATCACAGCATTGTTCCTCGTCATCATCATCACCGGCGCCGTACGCGCGCATCGCCACCCCGAGCGATACGGCCCTCGAAACGTACTCGGACGACCAAGGCAAAGCAGGGCAAGGGGATTGGGACGAGCTATCCTGGATACCATACCCATCGTCAAGTTTGGCGAGAAGGAGCCGGCGAAACCCGCTGATGTCGAACTGGGCTCGACGGCAGAAACACGGGATGTGAATGGCGTGAACACGGACGCGGAAGCGCAAGCGAGCGGAGGAACAGCTGCGACTCAGCACGATACGGCTCCAGCTTCTGTGCCTGGTGCGACTGAGACAGCACAGGTCGTAACATCGGACCCCGCGGAAGAGCAGCAATCCGGCATCGCGCCGGCACAGCCTGTTACCGCAGGTGCGACAGCGGGCACTGATAATGCTTCACCAGATGAAGGTCTGGGATGCTCGATCTGTACCGAAGACTTTGAAAAGGGCCAGGATCTCCGGGTTCTTCCATGCGACCACAAGTTCCATCCAGAATGCGTGGACCCATGGCTACTGAACGTATCCGGCACATGTCCATTGTGGTATGCCACCCCTCATTCTAACATGTCAATGCTGTGCTAACCACTATTAGCCGGGTCGACCTTCGTCCTGTAAACTCGCGCGATTCCACGGGATCGCAAGAAGATGAGCTCGCTCCCCCTCTCAATCCCGAGGGCGATACATCCCATCGCCGCCGTACCGCGTTCTTCGATATCCTATCCCTCCGTCAACGGCCGAACGCGTCACCCGAAGAACGTATATCTGCTCTACGCCGCCTAAGAGAACAAAGGAGGAACCAAAGTGGTGATGTAGCAAGTGGCAGCGCAAATGCGAGCGTCGAGGATGTCGATGGCGCGCGTGACAGGAGGAATAGGCGCATCAGTGCTCGGCTGAGTGATGTATTCAGCGGCCGCTCGAGGAGAGAAAGGGCTGATGAGGGTTCGGCGCAACCAAGTGGGCAAAACAGGAATGAGGCGGATGCTGCTACTGGTCCAAGTGGGCCAAGCGCTTGAACGGGGGAGATGACTTGTATACGAAGATGATGATATCTGTACAGAGTATCTGTAATGGCGTTTGGGCTCTCTCGCATCCCGGTCAAGGGCTTATGGGTTGCGCATCGTACGGCGTTGCGGGATACCAGGTTGTCTTGGGTAGCAAGCATTCACCATGCTCCAGAATGCAAAATGCAATTTGTACCACCCATCCCACTTTCTTTCGGTGTCGTGGTTGTGTGGTTGTGATGCAGCTTCTCAGTCGCTTTATTCTCTTCGTGTATTAACCAACACTTTTTGAGAGCTGAACTCCAATAAAGTTTGAGTGCATAAAAGTGAGGCACGCGAACGTCTTAGTGATACTGCAATCTCTCAGCCCTGCTGCCAGGCTTTTGTGATAATAGGAAGGCAGATCAGAAAGTGATGTTTACCATCCCATGACTTGCACATCGACAGCCACTCCAGTTCTTCACAACCAGGTTCAATTCAACCTCCTCCGTTCGTGGACAATTAGCCTACTGAGAATTGTCCAATGATATCGAAATATGCAAGCCAATTTATTACATGCCAGGAAGGAAATCCCTCTTGGTTTGCCAAGTGCCAACATGATCGCGATCAGCACATATGACGCGGTTCCAATGTCAATGTGGCTGCCCAGGTGTTCACCGGTTCTGGCATGCTTATCTGCAGCACACCCACAAACTAAGCAGCAAAACCTCACCCACATACCTTAAACACTACCTTGCAGGCTCTGCTCTAGCAAACGATGACCACAAATACTCCATCAGAGCCAGCTTCATCGGAAGGACCACCAAACCCACCTCACACCTTCGATCGCAGTACACCCGACCAACAAGAAATCACCGCAATCCTTGCCAAATTCAACAAAGATCCTCTTGAACTCAGCGTTGTATCCCTGGGCAAGGATGGCGTTCTACGAAACCTATCGGCGGATCGCGCCGTCCTTAATGCAGTTGGACTAAACCCACGGCTGGTGAAAGCGTTCTTGGACCGCGTGCCTCCAGACTACCGCGCGCTCACGCCAGAACTTGAGGATGCTGATGGGTCGAAGGCGACGGATGGGGAAATGTGGCACCCGGATCCGGAACTGCTGCCGCGACCTATGGGAGAGGAACAGAAGAAGAAGGCGTTGGCGAGTTCACAGGAGAATTAGCATCAAAGCGTTCATATGTACGACAGCGGTATAAAGGAGATCAGACGAAATTATTTATAGTTGGGAAGAACTCAATGGCCGTGGATTGAGCCCCGGGGTGCACACAGTAGACCTGTGATCATCAACATTTTCCGTGACCCGTCAAGGTAAAGGGTGTTTGAATGTATGCAAATTATACACAGAGCGTTAATACGCTTCCAAGGTCTCTATGTGGAAGGAGATCACCTGGGTAAGGATCGTGATTGCCCTGGCTGAATTCCCACGCATGCGAGGCCCCATTCTGGGGCTGCTAAGCGATGGGGCCATCCAGGGCTGGAAATGTTATCGAACGTATCTACGATCCCTCTGCCTAGTTACTTCCTCCTAGGCCCGCACACCAAAGCTTAGGCCTTAACTTTACCACTGATCGTAGACCTTTGATACCCATCGCAAGGCTTGCGCCAAATGCGTTGCATGTTATACACGCACCCGTGGACGGATTCCTTCGCCAGGTGAGGCTCCCGAGGTCTGTGACAAAAAATGGGTGGCGACCTCGGGAAAGCTGAGAGCTGCATAGACAGCAACGACGCGCAGCATGCATGGCATACATGGGCGACGACCCAATGATACCGTATCCAACGTAAGCTAAACGATATTGTGCGTCCAATAACCCAGGCCCGGGGTCTAGTAGGTTCAGAGAGGCTTTCATACGAACTTGTACAAAGCCCGGAAGCCTGGCCAGGGCAGCCGCGTTCGGACAAACGTTCACTGCACAGCGGCACATCAGGATCATTCAGAGGATATTGTTCCACTACTATGGCGGTATCGGGCTACATAGGTTCCGCTTGCATACGACTACTTACCACTACCGTCGCTGACGCGAGTCCGATATCGACGCTGCTCTCGCCAGAGGGGCTAGCTTACTCAAAATCCTGGACCAATCTCAGAAATGAAGCTCGAAATGGCTGTAGGCTTTGTAGAATTCTGAAGGATTACTTGGATCGGGCAGATGAGAGATCTCGAGTCCGACGTGATCGACTCCAGGCCGCCCCTACCATTGTCTTGTATGCGCCAGAAGAGGAACGAGTCATCCACTTCGTACTACGTCTGTCCGGGAACCATATGACGATTAGCGCACCGAACATCGTGTTTGCAGGCACTGTTCAGTACAGAGCGACAACAAGCTTCAGTAAGGTCGCAGCGGAGGCGCCAGATCAGAGCTAATAGGGTAACCGTAGGCGATCCTGCAGCACAGTTCTTGCCACAGGCAACCATCATGTTGGATCGAGGGGATCGAGCGACTTTCAATGCCATCCGCTCATGGGTCAAAGAGTGTAGCCATCAGCACGATAGTTGCGTGAGCCGCGAATCAGATCTTCCTGCAAGGTTGATAGATCTCTCCTATCTATCGGCCGAGGCCCGATACCTACGACTATACATCCCCAAAGAGAATGAAGGAGGACGCTATGTTGCACTGAGTTACTGTTGGGGCTATTCGCAACCGGTCACCACGAGCGAGAACAACTTGCAACAGCATTTGCACAAGATCCGATACGATAATCTTCCACAAACACTCCCAGATGCAGTTAAAACGACCAAGGCTTCAGGTATTAAGTATCTCTAGGTCGATGCGTTGTGCATCGTCCAGGATTCGCAGCGCGACAAGCAAACGCAGATGGCAGAGATGGCCAAGATCTACCAAAATGCATTTTTCACAATAGTAGCCGCTTGCTCCACGAGTTCAGCCGAGGGCTTCTTCCAAGTCAGAGATGGTATGCCGCCAGCTCTGGAACTACCAGTAGGTTGTTTGGAGGGAGAGATTGGCAACATTGCTTTGCTGCCATCATATGAGGGCCTCAGGCACGAACCGCTACATGACAGAGCCTGGACACTGCAAGAGATCATTCTCTCACGACGACTGTTAATTTTTGGAAAAGATTCCGTTGGATGGAAGTGCGAGCGAATGGACCGCGGAATGCATAGTTGGACAGACTGGAATGGGTACTGTGCATCTACGGGCTTGACAACGATTCGCCTTGCACCGGGCGGCAACATCATACGTCCATCACTGAGCATTTACTCGGCCAACATCAGCTCCTTCAACAACCCTTCATCGTTGGCTGAGACACAGCCGTATATCTTTCGACTTTGGAGAGATGTTGTTAAAGACTATTCGACTCGCTCGATGACAAACGAGGGCGACAAGCTCAACGCCATAGCTGGGATAGTGGCATACTTCCAAGACGTCATGGGGGGTACGTATCTCGCAGGGCTGTGGAAGAAACATCTGTTGCACGAACTATGTTGGCAGGTCCGCGACGCGAGGCGACCAGCAAAGACCAGAGCTCCCTCTTGGTCATGGATGGCCTTGGACGGGCCTGTAGCTTTTCATACAGAGCATTGCGAGTGGTATAGCCCTATAGTCGACGTCCTCTCCTGCACTGTCACCCCTGTCTCTCCAACCGCGCCCTTCTCCAGCGTCACCGGTGGAGACTTAGTATTAGACGGCCATGTCAGCTCAACTCGTCCAAGCGCGTTCGCGAAGAACCTGTTATCTCCAAAAGACTTCTCCGGTTTCGGTATAGACTGTGATCAACAGATAGATAGAAATGACATCTATATAGGCGTTGCTCGTTGCCTCGCGACCACCGCAGAACGCAGAATTGTGTCGGCGGGACGGGAGTTTATCTAGAGCTTGATTCTTAGGCTGTTGAATAATGAGCTTGGTAGGATAGATGTGTACAAACGTGTGGGGTGGTTTAACACTGCTATCTGGAATCTAAAGCAGCAGCGCGTAATTACAATTGTTTAGTCGCAGAAGATAATAAACAAAATTAATTGCATATCTATAGTGCTCTCTACCTAACTTAGAGTTATCTTAATAGTACAAAGATATTAAAGACTATTAAAAAGAATCAAAAGACTCTTAGCTAGTTCTTTTACAGCTACTAAATAACTTAAATACTATTTTAGATATTACTATAGTAATATAGTTATTTACACTATATAATAAAGCTAAAGACTTATAAAATAACTTTATAATAACCTTTATAGCTTTCTAATTTACTTATTAGTTAAGTAATAATTTTATAGTGTAAGCTAGTCTTAAAACATAAGAGCCTATTACTAGTATATAAAAAAAAATATTTCTAAAATTCTTAAAAGTATAGTATTAGATAGACAAAAACTTTAATTCTTAATAATACTACTTTTACTTAATAAAAGCTTCTAAAATCTAAGCTAACAAAGTAACTTTTTTTTAAATTTTAATATTAATATCTAGTAGAAAGAATTATTTTATTATTATATATTATAAAAAGCTTATAACTAATTAAGTAATAGATAAACTAAGAAAATACTGGAATATTTAATAAGTAAAATTATACTTTTATATAGTAGAGTAATAATAAGAAAGAACTATACAAAAGTTATCTTTTTTAAAGTAATATATATAGATAAGTACATTATCTAAAAATAAAGTTATTAGTATTTTAGAACACTAAGAGCCTTCTCTTTAAGTTAACCTACTATTATCTTTTCTTACTAATATTTTAGCGCTAGTAAACCTAGGCAAAGATAAAAGTAAAAAAATAATCTTATTAAAACTAGCTATATCTTTGAAAGTAAGCTTAAGACTACTGATTTTATTTTCTTATATTATTTTTTGTACTTTTTTTTAATCTTTATTATTCTTTTTAATTTTTTAAAATTTAAATCTAATAGGTTATTAAAAGATTATATATAAAGCTTGAAATTAAACTTTTTCAATATTATAAAATCATTTTATAATATTAATACTATTATTATATATAAATTAGAGTTAATAACTTAGCTATCTACTATAGCTTTAATACTATAGATATACACGTTACGCGCTTATAGTGCTTTACTACACTTATAGGTATATGTATATAAATACATAGATATATAGTTAACTTAGAAAGTAATAATATTATTTTAAGTCTTAGATAATTACTTTCTTTATTTACAAAAAGTAATAATAAATTACTAGTAATATTAAAATAACTCTACTATACTTTATATAGTACTTAGGTAGTTTATAGTAGTAGTAGTAATATTGTAATAATATAGCTATACTTTATATAGTACTTACGTAGACACTATAGCTTAGTTTACTTTAACTATTATCTAGCTTATTTTACTAGTTTTTATTATTATGTATACGCTTATACTTTCTATCTAGATTATATTTTATTATTCTATTACTTAGTTAATTATCTATTATATAATCTAAAGTATTATTTATTATATTATTTATTATATTACCTATTAATTAATATTACTAGTAACTTAGTAGTAACTTAGTAGTACTTACTAAGCTTATAATATAAGCTTTAGAAAAGTATTAGTAAAGTCTAACTTAGCTTATAGTATTACTTTATAATATACTTATTATATTATAGGTCTTTTTTAACTATACTATAAGCTTAGCCTTTTTAACTAAATTTAAAAACATATCTAGTTCTATTTTTAGTACTTCGATTTACTAGACTTCTACTTCTTTAAATATTTGAAATACTTATATTACTTTTAGAGCTTGTTTCTATAAGTATAATTATAAAAAGCTTTGACTTTATTTTATTTATATAACTTAGTAGTAAGAATACTAAACTAAAAAGTAGTAAAGCTTCTTTTATTATATAGACTACTATAATCTAGATATAAACTTTAAGAGTTACATATCTTATAATAGTTTTGAATTTACTTATTCTAGATATATATAGTAATAGTAAATAAAGTAATTACTTTTATATATCTTTATTTACTTAGTAAAAAGAATACTATAAGCGTTTTAGAAACATATATAAGATTAGCTAGTACTAAAATATAACTATTAGTAGAATATAGTATATTAGATATTTTATTACTAGTTTAAATAGCTTTTGTTAATAAATTATTATCTTAATAAAATATATAAAATAACAGTAAGTAGAATGATATTAAATAGAAAGTAAGAAAAGATTATAGATAAAAGTAAAGATTTTTTATACTATTTTACT